GGTGTGCGCCCGTCGCGGGGGGGGGGGGGGGGTTGGGGGGTGTGATGTCTCACTTTCCCTCTCCCTCTCTCTCTCTCCAGCAAGTGTATATACCATAAGGCAAATTAATCAATAAGTAAATGTCCATAACTATTAATGTTGTAAATCCATAGGTCTCAACTTCTCCAGATTTTTCTTTGTTATGAAAGTATCCATCCATAAGTAGGTTAATTCTAGTGGATGGGACCAGCAGATGGCTAAGGGTGATGTTGCTGGACCCCCACATAGCTGGCTGTGGTTTGAGCCCTGAACCTGGCAACTTAAAACTCATGCTGGGCACATATGCATGTGCACCCAAGATCCCGAGAGGAGAATGGAGGAGAAGGGATTGGGATGTGGCCATCCCCCCTAGGGGGGTGATTTCTTGTTTTCTGTCTCTATCTCTCTGGTAAGCACATGCACCTTACAGCAAAAATCTCTCTAAAAAAAAAAAAAGAAGAAGAAGAAGAAGAAAAAAAAGACTCTGGCAGACATGAATGTACCCAAGGACCCACTCTTCTTTGAGGATCTGACGTGATATAATACAATTGACACTTACATGGAAAATACACAGGATATTTCGGGTACTGTCTTAAAACGTACTTATTTGATCCAGAGAGCAACCTTATAAGCTAGGCGCTGTTATTATTCCCATTTTACAAGTCAGAGAATTGAGGATCCCAACTTTTCCTCAGGGAAGAATGGATTCTAAACATGGTAGCATAGCTTGCTTCACCAAGTCTTCCAAACTCTGCTAAATTTCATGGAAAGGAAACGGCAAAACAAATTCTTTGCAATGAGAGCTTTTGAATTAAAAATAAGAATGAAATGGCTTTTTAAAAAGACATGTCTGTGAACCTCTTTTTTTTCCTCTTAAATTTGGAGGTGGGACAAAAATAAAAGATTATTTTAGCTCATGAATGTGTCTAGTCAAGTATTTTTAGCCACAAAGCGTTGAATACATAAAAATATTTAAGAAAACAGGTCAAATGCTAAACAGATTGTCACTTCTTTGTTCGTAATCAGAAAGCCATTAGGCAAGTATGAACAAGAGTTTCAAAATGTCAGTAAATCTGAGGATATCAAAGATTTCTGAGCCAGCAAGTTAATTGGTATTTTGATCCTTTTGAGCAACTTAACAACAAAATGGATGAGCCAGCAGTTTCCCCCCTTGATGTTATTCACCAAATAGGTGCTTCTTATCTTCCTGTTCAAGAGAGCTATTTTGTAAACTCTTAGCAGGAAATATGCAGACAAAACAATCAAAGGCAGAGAACAGAGCTGTTCAAGGTTTATCAAGCAGAGGTAAATAAAAGATAAAGACTTGTTTAATGTTACTCTTTACCTTTTCTATTTTCTGGCACTCAGGGCTAAAACCCTGATGTGTACACCAGAAAGGTAGTATTCTTAGGATTATGTTGTCTGGTTCCAGAATAAGGGAGGACTTCTCCAACCCCCAAATCATCTGAACCTTTTTTTAAAAAAAATTATTTATTTAATTTTAAAATTATTATTATTATTTTTGTTTAAAATTTGCTATAGGGCATGTGCGCTCACCAGAGAGAGATAGAGACAAAGAGAGAAAGTGAAAATAAGAAAGTAAGCCACTAGGTCCGGGACTTGAATTGTGTTCAACCATGTGGGTATCCAGTGCCTTAAGCACCACACCACCTGCTGGCGCCAATCACCTGGGTCTTAAAATATAGCCAAACCTTGCTTCCTTGCCCCTGACATCCTTGAATCTTTTGACAAAACTATTTAGAAATACCCTTCCTTATCCTCCAGTCATAGAGTCTTTGAGGAAGTAGGTACCCCCCCAACACCCTCTCATCACTGGGACCCAGTGAGCTGGAAATCTTGTTCTCAAGGCCACTTGGTAGTGCTGGGCAGACAAACAAAAATTTCCTGAAGTCATACTGTTGAGAAAATGACTGTGAACTTTCATTTTCTTTGTGGCGAATGGTCTACACGCTGGCAAACACGTATTACAACATGTGCAGAGAGGAATTCTAGCCAATGTTTTTTTTTTTTTTTTGGAGAGGTTTTCGCTATAGAAGGCGTGTGCTCGCCAGACAGACAGAGAGAGAGACATAGAGACAGAAAGCGAGAAATCACCCCCCAGAGGGGATGGCCACGCCGCAATCCCTTCTCCTCCATTCTCCTCTGGGGATCTTGGGCACGCACGCACACGTGCCCGGCGTGACTTTTAAGCCACCGGGTCCGGACACGAACCGCGGTCGACTACGTGGGAGTCCAGCGACATAGCCATTAGCTAACTGCTGGTTCCCCTAGCCAACGTTTAAAGGACAGGGCAAAGACTAATAGTTTATGAAACTGCAGCAATAAATAATATCTATTTTAGTAAGGAGACCTAAATTCTAGTCTCCTTTTGACATAATATTTGGCAAGTAACTAATAGTTCTGTTAAAGATATTTCCTCATCTGTATGACAAGAAGGCAGGAATACAGAGTCTACATTCTAAAGACTTTTGGGGATTTTCATGCATATTCCCGAGATTCCCTTAGCCTCTCAGTCATCAGAGTTGCCCACCCTCTATCAGCTGAGTTCATAGGAGGGAAATCTGCACCTACCAGGACCTGATTCATAACGGTTGTTAAATAAATGCCTTTTGAATAGAATGAAATTCTCTTCTCTTTCATTGGCATCTTTCCTTTTTTCTCACGATGGCATGAAGAGCCATGGCGTCCTAGTACCTCCTTCATCTCATTCTCCCTTTTACTCCTCCACTTCCTTTCCTCCGGAAACCTAGAGTAACCTTTGATTTGATATCCTTCCTCCTCACTTCCTTTAGACAGTCCATCACCAGGTTCTGCTAATTTATCTGCTAAAGTTTTCTCCTCAAGGTTTTACCACAAGATAATCTCCCGTCCATTCTAAGACTTCAGTCCAGGCCTTTTGTCATTGTTGTTAACAGCTTACTTGAGATATCAATCACATATATAAAAGTCATCCTTTGAAAGTCAGTAGTTCTTATTGTATTCACAGAGTTGTCCAACTATCACCACCATCTAACCTTAGAACATTTCCATTATTGGGACCAGCAGTTAGCGTAATGGCTATGTCGCTCGACTCCCATGTAGCTGATCGCGGTACGAGTCCCGGACCCGGTGGCTTGAACTCACGCCAGGCACCTGTGTGTGAGTGCCCAGGATCCTGAGAGGAGAATAGAGGAGAAGGGATTGCGGCGTGGCTATACCCCCTGGGGGGTGATTTCTCGCTTTCTATCTCTCTGTCTCTCTCTGTCTGGCGAGTGCTTGTGCCCTACAGCAAAAACCTCTCAAAAAAAAAAAGAACATTTCCATTATTTAAAAAGAAACCCCATACCTATTAGTCATCACCCCCATTCTTCCCAACCCCACCAGTCTAGGCAACCAATAACCCAACTTCTGTCTCTATGGATTGACCTATTATGATAGTCCCAATTTTTCCACATCTTTGTTAACACTTATTGTTGTTAGTCTTTTATTTTTGTCATTCTAGTGGGCATGAAGTGGTATCTCATTGTAGTTTTGATTTGCATTCCTATAATGACTAATGGTGCTGGGCATCTTTTTATGTCATTATTGGTCATTTGTATATCTTCTTTGGAGAAATGTTTGTTCAAATCCTTTGCAATTCTTTTTGTTAATTTTTATATATTGCAATACCAGTCTTTTATCAGAAATGTGACATGCAAATATTTTCTCTCGTGCTATGAGTTATCCTTTCAGTTTCTTGATGGTGTCCTTTAAAGCACAAAGTTTAAAATTTTTTTTTTTTTTAGAAGGCATGTGTGCTCACCAGAGGGAGACAGAGAGAGAGGGAGAGGTGAAAGTACCCTCTGCAGGGAGTGGTCTTGCCACAGTTCCTTCTCTGCCAGCTTTCACTCCTTTCAGGATTTTGAGCATGCAGGCATGCATGCCCAGGGTGTTTCTTAAGCCACAAGATCCAGGATTCAAACCACGCAGTTGGCCACGTGTGACCCAGCTGTCTTAACCACCAGGTCATGCTGGCCCCAAAACTTTTCAATTTTATTATTTTATTTATTTATTTATTTTCTTTTTGGAGAGGTTTTCTCGCCAGACAGACAGAGAGAGAGAGATAGAAAGCGAGAAATCACCCCCCAGGGGGGATGGCCATGCCGCAACCCCTTTTCCTCCATTTTCCTCTTGGGATCTTGGGCACGCACGCACGGGACTCGAACTGCAGTCGACTATGTGGGAGTCCAGCAACATAGCCATTACGCTAACTGCTGGTCCCAATTTTATTGAAGTTCAGTTTATCTATATTTTCTTTTTTTGTTTATGCTTTTGGTGTTATATCTAAGAAGCCATCACGTAATTCAAGGTCACAAATATTTACTCATATTTTTCTAAGGGCTTATAGTTTTAGCTTTTATATTTTAGATCTATGATTCATTTTGTAGGACCCAACTTTATTCTTTTTTTTTCTTTTGAAATGTAACATTATTTATTTAACTTGAGAAAACACTTCAGCATTCTAAACATACAAAAAATAATAGAATGTTGCAAATTGTGCTTTAAGTACAGAGGTTCTTGAGCTTCATTGATGCAGTGGCCC